TATTAATATTAACCCCACCACTCCCACACAACGTAAACACAGTAAAGGCAACACAATTTAATACACACACTGATTTTATTACAATGAACACTATTTCTGGATTCACAATGCTCATCTACACAACACGTGGTAGGTAATGTGTGCTTGTATACACTAGAAGCTGGCGATCTCCTCGTCAGTCGGAAACAGGAATTTCGGAACGAATTTGCATCCCAACTTGAGCACCGGTGCCAGTACAGCTCTGATTGTCACTGGGAGCATAGCCAGCATACCGTCAGCACCTACGTGATGATGAGAGAACACGTGGAGATTAGGGCAGAATGAGAAGAAGAGAGTTGTACACAGTTTCAAATCTCACTGTGCATCACAATGCATCGGTCAATAACCAGTCAACCAGTCACTTACCTGGTGTGCAGATGAGAGCGATGAGTATTGTGGTGAAGATGAGGAGGGTGAGATTCTGTTGGTGAAGAGAGGAATGAGGGAAGGAATGGAGAAAGGAATGTAGATATGAAGTGAGAAATAGCAGTCGTACCTTCATTGTTCTTGTCGATGTTTGATTGTTTGTGTGAGTGATTGAATGAGATGGGAATCCTAATGTATATATATAGTATTCACTTGTCCAACAATGAATGCATGGATTGATTGAAGTGTCGTAAACTGACCTGACTTGTCAATTTTAGGAATAGGTCATTGTTGACGAGGTTTGGCAACTTTATGAATGATCGTAGAACTCAGGGATATGACGTGACTTCTTTTTCACCTGTAAGTTTCTCGTGCCAATAGCACGCGGAATGGGTTTATTTGAATGCATTGTTTCGAAGCAGTTCCTGTTAATGTCTGCGTTTATCGCTTCTGATATTGAGCGCAGCCATATTTCCTGCTGGACGAATGGGAGTTTATCACTGTGCTATATTCGGTTAGGCAGTTGTTAAATTTATATATATTCACATTTTATTGTGCTAGTTATAAGCCATGAAGTCAATTAGGACAACATAGTTATATGGGTAGACCAGAGGATAGCAAGCTCTCTTTTATTGTATCAGTGACAATACGATAGTCAAAAAGTGTTTGGATATACAAAGATTTTCCACAATTGACATGTTGATAAAGAAACAGTTACTTACTACTCATCCACAAGAAGACTGTCAATAATCCGGGATGCTTGTTTCACCTCACAGAGCTCCAGTCCATTAATTATTAAGCCACTAGTTTGAATCTTATTTTGACGCATTTTCCCACCTTATTAGTATAAGTGTGTCAATCCAAGACTACCGCCTACAAGTTCCCGATCATATTCTTTCAGCATCCTGTATTTATCTATAGTTAAGTCATGCACTTTTGACGAAAATGCAAATACATCATGGGAAAAAGTGGAGAAACATCAGTTTTGTTAATGACAGTAAGTGAAATGAAATATTACGCAAAATAGTCTGATAAAAACTCAAGATGCTTAGTTCGTCCTAGTTTCAATTTCTCAGCTGTATGTGACAGTTGATTGATTCTGTTAATAGTCGCCTTCAAGTGCTGATGGACATAACACGTTATTATTGCAGATTACGTAACCATATAAACCATTTCATCAACATAACGAGTGATATGAGCCATTTTCAAATGAAAATAGGATTTCCGATCACATCACAATATCAGAAGAGCATAAATGAGGTAACAGTTAATGAGAGACTGACAACTCTTTTCTTTTCTCTACATACGTTTGATACGAATATTTCGATGACTGTTGTTTCTGCGAAACCCAACAAGCCACGTGTGCCTAACACGGAAGGTTTCATGACTGCTGCATTATGTTCATTTTCGATCATATGACGTGGAACAACGATGTTGAATGGTTGTGAAACCTTTAGTCTCAGATCCTTCTTCCTAAGTATGAGCCATGTCACTGGCATATAAACAGGAGAAAACGTGAGCTGAGAATCGATCTGTTTGTGGTCGCCTTGAAAGTCTATTTCTTGCATACGAATAGACCAGCTAGGCAGCTAGATACTACTGCATTGTTGTGGCGCCTTATTTTTACTTTATTCCTACAGAAATTTTGTCACTTCTGAAGGAAAGTTGTAGAAACATCAGCTTATTCTCCAGCATTGTGCGGTAGCTTGTTGGTTACTGAAACTTTACAGCACATTGTCCAACTGTATTCACTTTCACCTATAGATAGGAATACCCGAATTTGAGATTCACAATTTATATTTTCAGAAAAACTAGCATTTAACAGTTGAGGAAACGAGGTCTGCTGCATCATGAAAGAACAAATCCGAACACTTGAGACGATCAATAATGCAAAGTATTGTTGCCCACAATATAATTAAAATATAAACCAAATTAAATGTTCAACGAAGCAGAGGTCTGGAGTCTGCTGACTATTAGTTACGCGCCTACGGTTGGTATGCAATAGCGACACTGAATTCAACGTAAACAATTTCAGAGGCTAGGACAATGAGTGTTTCAATAATGCATATGCCATCAACTTCTTTGAGAATTGTTTAATTCACAGATTCTTCTGATTCAACGATTATTTTGTACTGATGAAGACAGTCACAGATCAATGTTTCTACAATTATTCCCTTTAAATCTATCGTTTAATGTGTACATGCCACGTCTACTTGCTGACAAGTTTCGTGTTGATCATGCCACTTTTATCAGGAATTCAGTCATAAGCGACTAATCTTCTTGATATTATCTGAATTTAGATGTTTCTGCAAAAATTGCTGCTTTCCATGACTCCATACTAAAAGTCAGATGTCTAGAATGCATAAGCAACAAGGAACTCTCCAGACGAATCAGCCAGTGACTTGTCGCCCAAAAATTATGCTGAAGAAAATAGAGATGAATTGTTCATATGCCCAGTCCACCAAGTGGAACTCGAGTGGGAAACGACGAGCTGGACATGGATCCCAGGGTGACATGGAGTAAATGGTGTAGAGAGAAGATGATAGCTTATTGAGGACCATACAGTCGACTACAAAAGACTGCAAAGAACAGAATGAAATCGGGGTGTGCTTCTGAAGCCCCAATCCACACTAGGAACTCAAGGGAATAATAAGACTGACAGATTGCTGAAACAGTTTCTTTCATTAAGCCGTAAATAACTTTTCGTAATACTACTTAAACAGGGAAGAAGGGAATTAATATTCTCCCTTAAAATATTCAAATATACCTACTAAGTATCCAATGAATAGATGTTTATAAATGTCTATTATGAAGTATAGATGGACAGAATTTAGGTTTATTTATTAAAAACTGCTGCACACTTTCGGAATCATATGAAGTGCTAGTTTTGTAGGGATTCATCTAAATTACTAGGCTACCGAATTTGTCATCCTCAAGGTCAACTTCCTCTCCTCCTCTGGCTTACAACCAGCTAGTAAACTAGGCGAGGTTTCGAAGTGAGTCCGCCAGGAATCGAACTCGGAACACTTGCGTGAATGGCGATCATTTTATGCCTGAACCACCAACATACTATCTGCAATAATGCCATTATTATTATAATTCATCTCATATTGTTTCAATGATTTATTTTTATCTCCATGTCGTATTATGTAGCGAGGTGCCTGATTAAACAGATTTTCATCATTTATTGTTATGAATTTATCAGAAAAAATTGAAGGGAACTGGTATTATACAACAGGCTTGTTGTTTAATGGTTAGGCTTATCTAATATAATACTAAACTATCTGAATGCGGCCTGCTTAAAACTTGGGTTACCAAAATCTTCCATCTCTCTATTGCATGTATTTTCCTCCAGTTCGTTTTGTTTCAATAGATTAATATGTAACCTCTGATGGTATTATCTAGTCTCATGTGTATTTAAAGTGTTTACAAGCTTGTGATTCGCCAGTTCCTACTAAACTAGAGGAAAGGCCTGACTGTGGGTGGGAATGCGTTCCAATACATGCGTCGGTAGCACAGCGGTTATGACTCTCGCTGACTATGCACATGGTCCGGGCTTCGATCTCCTGCCAAAGCACACCCGATATCTATGGTCGGCCTGCAAAATTTGGGCTACCGATATCACATGCTGAAAATTCCATACTTGTACCAAAAACACTGTGGAATAAAGCTATAATCAAAAAACTGTTCTTCAGTCATGTACTTGGGCCTCAAAATATACTTGTGAACATCTCGCAATTGGCTTTCAACTAGATATCTTGGATGGATTTCTTGAAGGAGACAAAGCAGATATTTCATAATGGAATAGTTTGCGCTTCAGCTCAGAAATAACTGTGTCACAGGATATAATCTCGGTTAATATTTTACTTGAAGATATTGTGCGAAAGGAAAACGTCATGCAACAACACTTCTCGAGATTCTGTACATTTTACAAGTACTGTCCAGAATAAAAATATTATTAATATTATTGATTGTCTCATTGAATTATGGCCTAATATGAAATAGTGTCTATTCAAACGATTTGAAAAAATACATCCGATACCTTCAGCGGTTTCTATTCAACGCTCTCAGCTGTTTATTTACACAGTTAAAGGCAATTATTATTAATATTTTTTTATTCCTTTACGTTCCTAGTGGAACAAAGGGCTTCAAGGTAGAGACTTGAATTTTCAGTAGCAGTGGTTATTTAGATTGGTTGCTAGCCTCATGCCCAACCTTCCATCTTTACCACCTGTATTACTGGCTTAGCGAGGTAAAGGAGTTTTTCGGCTGGGGATCGAACCCTGGACCAAATGCGCGGTCGGCGAGCATTCTACCGCTGTGCCACCGAGGCTAAAGGCAATTATTATAAGGTATAGTATAGTATAAAATGCTATATCTTGTGATGTAGTCACATGTTATACTCATACATATATGCAGATAATTATCACGTTTGGCTTTATCTTACTATTCACTGTCAAACAGACCAAAAGTTTGACAACTGTAGCCTTAAGTCATACGGTTGTTCAGCATGTGAATTAAAATAAAGAACTCTATAAATACTTGACTTTTGCATGGATTGTTCAGACAAACAGTAACTGAAGTATTATCAACTCATGTCTCTTATTAAGGTAAATGAAATTCTTCTCCTCTTTCAGTGTATCAATTTTGTACTCATGTTCATCGTAATTTTTTTTATTTTAGGCTGTTCTGATTATCTTTGTGTTATATGCCGTTGATTATTTTGTGGTCTGTGATGCAAAAGGTAACCAACGTTGACAATAATATACCTTTGTTTCTCTACTGAAAAAGTAATATTTAAAATGAAAAATTTGGTGTATACAATGAGGCCTATTATTTTATTTATGAATTTGTTTATTTATGATATCGTAGTGGGTGAGAGTTCGGTATGGGTGATTCAGTGGCAGAATAATAGCCAAATATATACAGGATATAGGGTTGAAACCACAAACAAAACAAAACTTAATCTCGCCTACCGATGTCAGTGGAGACAGGTGAAGTCAAATTGGAGGATATCAACACCACACGTTAACAAACGATCACTGTAATGAAACTTCAGAGCTCAGGCTCGAAGCCGTCAATTCCACTGCGATCGCAAAAGAATGGAAAGAAGAAGAATACTGGGGAGAGGCATACTACTACCAGTGGAAAAGTATCGAAGTCAATGAAATCGTCTTCTCTATTCATAAGTGTAATTGTGAAATGAATGCTAGGCGTTTGTCACTCACGGTTGTGTGTCCTTTGACAGCTAAGGGCTTGTAATATTTTTGATATACTCTTTACTTTTACTTTCAGAAAATAATCAAACCTCGTCAACACGTAAGTGAACAGTTTATGACACTATACATAGTTTTCGAAAAGACTTAATGATAACTTCAACTCATTCGGCAGACTAACTCTCTCCTGATTTGGTAAATGATGATTCCTAGTGGAATCCAGACTGCACGGTTCAACCTGTTTAGCATTATTAAGCCAAGCCTACCCATACCATTCATGTTGACACTACTTGTGACACTAAACTTTCGTATATAACAATACAGAGTATAAGGGAAACTTTTAACAAATAATCCTATAGGGAAATCGAACTAGTGTATGAATATGAGATATATGTAATCTGTAGTTATTTTTACTTTTTATCTGGTATATCTACAGGGTGATACAATGTTATTCATTTACTGATGCCGTTAAAAGTATAAATTACTTTTCATACGCCTACCATGTCTTCTATTATGTAGTGATATGATACCTAGTTTTTAAACGAGGGTGATTCTTTGACATATCTATTAATCGAATATTCGCTAGTTGGTAGTTCTTATTGACATTTAATAATAACGAAGATTAGATTTGATTTGTGTGACTTACTGTTCACATTTGAATACAGCATTATCGGTTGTATATAATAAAGAAAAATTCACTTGAATTTAAGTTCTTTTGCTACTCTTAGTTGTGTTAACAATGTACTATTCTGGTTCAACATTTTACTGTCATTTAGATATCTCTCCCTTAGTTTTGAGTTTACTACAGCCTAATTCAGTGCCTACATAACTATTAGAAAAGCAATGCACCTTCTAACAGTGAACGCAGATTAATAATTCCTCAATTTAATTCAAAAGACAGTTAATTTATTATGTATTTTGACAAAGCCAAAGTATTTTCAAAAGTTGACTTGTACGGATATGATTTGTTTCAAAAGTTAGACCACGGATTGATATCAGATGAGCCTAATGAAACTTCAGAGGAGAGGCTCGAAGCCGTCAATTCCACTGCGATCGAAAAAGAATGGAAAGGAGAAGAAGAATACTGGGGAGAGGCATACTACTACCAGTGGAAAGTATCCATGTCAATGAAATCGTCTTAAGTCTAATTGTGAAATGAATGCTAGGCGTTTTTCACTCGCGGTTGTGTGTCTTTTAAGAGCTGAGGGCTTGTAAATTTTCTTCTTTCTTGCTGAAATAATAGTATTCTACTAAGCTAACGATGATTGTTCTGAGTATTACTGAACACCTATTGGACTGAAGAATAAAGTAGTCTCAGTCGTATTATTTCCTGATTAATGGCTCCTATCAGCTAGCATATGTATCATACACATTAATATTGTTCATATACTCTTTACTTTTACTTTCAGAAAATAATCAAACCTTGTCAACACGTAAGTGAACAGTTTATGACACTATACATAGTTTGTGAAAAGACTTAATGATAACTTCAACTGATTCGGCAGACTTACTCTCTCCTCATTTGGTAATTGATGATTCCTAGTGGAATTCAGACTGTTCAGCATCAATAAGCCAAGCCTTCCTACACCATATGTGTTGACACTAAACGTTTTATTATCACAATATATATTAAAACGAACATTTTTTGGCAAATAATCCTATGGGGAATTCGAACTATTGGAATATTATTAAAGATATGTAGTCTACAATTATTTTTACTTTTATCTGATATAATTATAGGGTGATACAATGTTATTCATTTACTGATGTCGTTAAAAGCATAATTTACTTTTCATTTGTTAAACATGTCTGCTATTATGTAGTGATATGATGCCTAATTTTTAAACGAGGGTGATTTTTCGACCTTTCCACTAAACAAATGTTCGCTAGTTGATAGTTCTCATTGACATTTAATAATAACGAAGATTAGATTTGATTTGTGTGACTCAGTGTTCACACTTAGATACAGTATTATTGGTTGTATATTATAAAGAGAAATTCACTCGAAGTTCTTTTGCTACTCCTAGTTGCGTTAACAATGTACTATTCTGGTTCAACTTTTTACTGTCATTTAGATATCTGTCCGTTAGTGTTGAGTTTACTACAGCCTAATTCAGTGCCTACATAACTATTATAAAAGCAATACACCTTCTAACAGTGAACGCAGATTAACCAGATTAATAATTCCCCAATTCAGTTCAAAAGACAGTCAATTTATTATTTATTTTTGACAAAGCCAAAGTATTTTCAAAAGTTGATTTGTACGCATATGATTTGTTTTCAAAGTTAGGCTACGGATTGATATCAGTTAGAGGACCTTTGAAAACCAGGGAGTACTGGACAACTGTTTCGTTTGCCCTAGTTTGAGAATCGTTGGCAGCACGCACTCACCACAGGAGTTCGAATCCAAGATCATCCAGTTACAGGTTAAGCTCGTATACCATCCAGGCACTCAGAGTAAAATTCATGCGCCATTCCATCAGGCCCCAGTGGCTGAATGGTATACGAGTATTCCTTGTGACTGGAAGACCTTGGGTTCGAACTCCTGTGGTGAGCGCGTGCTGCCAATGTTTCTCAAACCAGTACTCCCTGGTTTTCAAAGGTCCTCTAACTGATATCAATCCGTAGTTTAACTTGGAAAAGTCAAAGTAGCTAAAAGTGCATTTTAGGTCGCGGATTTGGTTTTGCTTAGGATTTGTCAGATTGATGTGCCTGTAGTCCAGAATGTCACGGTGTTACTGATGACATACAAGCCAAACACTGATAGTATCAACAACCAGAACGTTATCTAGGAGACCTTTGGACTACATCATACACTGTTAGAGTTTTAGATAATAGAACCCGAATCATGCGCTTAGCTGCTGAGCATTCTACCCCTGAGCCACCAACACACCTGCCCTACTACCGACAGTCAGATCCAAGCTTCCCCACTGAAGGCAGAGATACTGACAACCATACAACCGAGGATGGTTGACGTCGTATTGACCATTATATGGTAGGATAAATTATATGTATTATTTATATATATATATATATTATGCGACTAACCCTATTACTTTTGTATCTTTCAGCTTCAAAATCAACACCACTGAACAGTACTAAAACAGACAAAAACAAACCATACATCTATACAGGTGATGTGAATTTTTTGCTAAAATAACAATGAATATTTATTAGAATGGAGTGAATGGGAGACACTCAGTGAATATGAATTAGAAGAAGAACGCAAAAAGAAGGAACAAGCAGAAAAAGATTCGGGTAGATTATTTTTTTATTCTTGAATTAAAATACGTCATTTTCCGTAATTATTACTTTGACTCGATATTCTTTGGATGACTGACAGAGAAATCCACGAAATACATTTCGTCGTCATCGGAACTTCTCGTGTGGATACACTTCAATTCTTAGTAAGAGGTAGTATTCACACTCATCGTTTCAAACGCCAAAGCATTTTCCTCTATGCCACTAAGCTATAACAGCCATCTCTTATTCAACAATGGTTTATATTTATCGCTCACTTTTATGTCTCACGATTTGAGCTAATGGCAATGTATTCGAGGAAATTCTCAAATATATCTGTTTTGTCTTAGTCACAGAATCTAAATGATTAAAGAGTACTCAATGAATAAACAGAATATTTTTCACATTGCTATTATTATACTATTTTTTATTTATTTGTTAACACTAGAATGGGAAGTTGTAACAGAAATTGTGACAGAAATAATACACCCGAAACGCAATGGTAAGTTTTAATAAAAGATAAGTTGAAAGCATTACAAACAATTACATGCATACGTCACATTGATTATACGAACACGTCTGTTTGGAAGTTGTTTGATTACGCTGATGTATGTCTGTAAGAAACATATTGTTTTATGGATTGATACCAGTCAGAGAACCATTGAAAACCAGAGAGGACTAGACAGCTATTTCATCTTTGCTTGGGACTTACTGGTAGTACGCACACACTGCCAGGATTCGAACCCAGGACACTCCGATTACAAGGTAAGCTAGTAAACCATCCGACGTCTGAAACCCAATTCAGTGACCTAAGAATCCTAACTTCTACTAATTCGTGATTTTAGCGCGACCACTGGTCAATGACAACCGGGTGAACCCCACTGGTCACGAGTTCTCACCAGAACTCCAGGTAATTTCGTCCTGTAGCCAGTGACTAGAGGGCATCAGATTATATTTCAAGAATTAGTTTGTACTGATTTGAATTGTTCCAAGTTTGACCAGGGATTGTTATCAGTTCAGTGCTTCCTGGTCTTCAGTGGTTTTTAACTGATGTCAAACCGTGGTCAAATCTGCAGCGAATCAAATCCCTACAAACTAATTTTTGGCGGTGTATTGAACTCTTAACTTCATTCTGAAATTAATCGCATAATAATACATTATCTGCCTTACAACATAAACTTTATAGAAACCATTGAGGAAACAACAATGGAGAAAAATATAACCGTTCCAAGAAGAGGCAGTTACAATGGTAAGTACATAATGTTTTAGAAATGGGACAGGTAATTATATATATTCACCTGGAATCACAAATAAAAAGACCGAAAATCCCAAACAAATTCATAGATTGAACAAATTGAATAAGAGCTTAGAAATGCTTTCAATATCTTGATGTATGACATTGAGTCTTTATATTAGAAAGCTATGGGTATATGGACATTTCACTTCAAAGTGTTTCACAGTCTACACAGTTATATATATATATATGTCAAACAAAACATAAAAAATGAAACTGAACATAAGTAGATATCAAACAGAGCTTTAATAATAATACTCATCATCAAATAAGCAGTTCTGTTCTTTTGTTCATAACCCTTCGTGTACGACTTGGTACTAAAATTCCTACCGACTTTTACCTCCAAAGAGACCATTGAAGAGACGATTAAGAGACAAGGAGGCACTGTTCCAAGGAATCGGACGGAAATAGGTGGGTGAGAATAGACTTTTTCCTCTATTCATCTGCATTTTCTTATCAATCTGTGATTAAATCTATCTTTCATATTTAACACATTGGTGTGGGAGTGATTCTCTACTCTGTATCATCATAATATTTTTGGTTGAGTGTGGATGTCATGAAGATTTAGAAGATTTTTCCATGATGGTTACATTAGGTTTCTGATACTCTATTTAGTCACATGGGCATTAATACTGACGAAATGATACCAAGCTTAATTATAAGTAGATATACGAATAGATTCAAAACACGTAGATGAGTGAAATAGGCGGGACGATAGAGCTGTTTTCATAAAAGTATGTGTTTGTAAGAGACAGAGAGAGCGTGATTTGCATGCAACAGTTGTGATTTTTCATAAAATTGTCCTGCAATCCTCCTACAATAAACATTCATTCAGAAATTTCCATCATTCTCGTAAGCACGAACTTCCTCTGGCCATATCGATGGAATCCAATCTGTGGCAGGAGAAGTAACGACTTTATTTTTAGAAAGTGAAAAATAATACAGCCAATAGATTGCGATCCACTTAATGCTTATCTACTTATTTGTCTGTTGGCTTTAATCTGATCCCTAGTGCGATGTCGTAAATTTTGAAAATTCACCCAGATTCTTCGCTCCACATGAATAAGCAAGCATGCGTCCACTTCAACAGGTTATAAACCCAACTCACTCTACTCTGAAAACCAGTGTTCACAGATGAAAAGTCAACAACCGGAATCCTGTGCACAGAATGAGACATCTTATTGAACAGGAAGTAGTATAATTAAATATGTAGACATTCCTTGAATTTGATCTAGAAGTGTAATTGGAAATCTCCTAATATCAACAATGATATGTGGTGGTCGAAAGAAGCTGATTGGGAATATATTATATCCACCGTGATTGAAGTTCGCGTCTCTACAATCATTATAAACGGGACACAGACTTCCTAATGTTTCCTATAAGATAACAAAGAGTTTCTGATTTAATAGCCGTTAAGTCTGTCAGTTGCGCATATACTCATAATCTCTCTGTGAGGAGACGTTGAAGTTGGTTGCTTTGGCTGTTGTTGTACTGCATGATATCCTGTTTAACTGTTCCCTAACTCACTTTCACTTCCACAGAGACCATTGAAGAGACGATCAGGAGACAAGGGGGAACCATTCCGAAGAATCGGACGGAAACAGGCGAGTGGTTTTCCAGTGGTCATTCGCATTTTTTACCGTTGTCTGGTGACATTTATCTTTCATATCTGAAATGCTGGTGTGGATATGATATGACTGCGTGTGAAATCGGAGTTTTTACGTTTGAGGTTGAATATCACGGGGATTTGAAGATTCTTTTCGTGACTAATTTACGCAGTGTTCCATTTTCTGGTTAGTCAGATGGGCTATGAATATCGATTAAATGATACTAAGATTTATTTCAAATGGTTGCAAACTGAAAGTAGGTAGATGAATGACGTAGGCACACAGATGCAGGCGTCTTCAAATAAGTGTAAAAATACATTATTTCAGCTTGTTCAGAAAGTGGCATTCAATTATTGAGGTTACTCATCAAACTATGACGCTGTCCTTCCCAGAAAGGCATCAAGTACGAAATCTCAGTAATACGCCTAAGGATTATTTTCTTATGACCATAGCAGTGAATCGAGGATGTTCTAGGAGAAATAAAGAAGTTAGATAGACCAAGTGTGATAAAGCCAACGAATTACTTATCAAATAACGCTTAGATTATGATGAAGATATATGTATTCATCCTATTGTTGGTGAAATATTGCAAGACTAGAGAATTCACAGAGCTGTCTCTCTTTGCATGTGCAAGCGTGCAAGTGTCTATTTCAACCCATTATGGGATTGTGCTTCAAGAATCGTTTGAGTTGCTAACAGAGTTACTAATTTCTTCTGTAAGGTATTGAATGAAGAAACGGAGAATACCCCATGTTTGTCACATCGTCAAAATGTAACGAAAAACTGTCATTGTCTTCTGTTATTGACTGCGGTTGTGCCATGTGGTACCATGTTCACATACTTCCCTACCCACTTTCACTTTTACAGAGACCATTGAAGAGACAATCAGAAGACAGGGAGGCACTATTCCGAAGAAGCGAACAGAAACCGGTGAGATAGAAGAGACGTTTTCCAGTAGATATTTACATTTTGTCGTCATTCTGTGATGAGACTAATCTTTAACTGGATTGGTCACTGGTTGGTAACAGATGCCATCTGTCTAGTCCTTCAGTTGGTATAGACTGAATCCTAATAGTGACGTTTGCAATGTGGTCACTATATGCAGTGACTTGCCATCTCAGTGCAAGCTGAATTGTTATTAGTTGATTGGATGCGTATATGATTTTATTAAATGTAAGGCCAGAGTATGTTTGAAGGTGGATATTGTGTATATTTGAACAATCAACTCAATGATAGTGTTCAGTTTCCTAATCTGTCATAAGACAAACAGTTTAGTAATATTGGCTACAGGATACCACGGTACATTTTAAATTGGCAGACGAGTGGATTGAAAGTATTCATGATTGTGATAGCCAGGAGGATGGAGTTGACTTCATATAAGTGTCGAAATGACAACACCAGTCGAATCTAGGTTATACGAGGAGAATTGTCGTAGATAGTTTGACAAAGTGCAGTTCAAAATAACGAACATAATGCCGATAATTTTACGCTTTTATATGGATGAAAATTCACTCATTCAAAGCATTCCAGGAGCAATGTCGTGACATTTAATAATTCACAGAACTAATTTACTACGCACGCGCAAGCAAGCGAGTGTCTACCTCAACACATTATGAATCCACCTCAGACTACCCCGAAAATCTCTGTATTCCGAAGAAGTATCACCGAAAGCCGAAATCACCTGCACAAATTAATGCAGACAAACTGTAGACTTTAGAGGTTGAATTAAAACTTCTTTCGCTGTTGATACAGGTTTATTACAGCCAAGAAGTGGTGAATACGAAAGTATGATATATACGATGACTGAAGTTTGCTATTTGAGATTCGCTGTGAGCAGGCAATATACTTGTCAATGTCTCCTTAAAGATTACCGTTCATCCATGAAATCGGGAATGGAAAACACCGCCTGGTGTACACCCTCATGAAAAATAATGATCGTTATAATCCTCTCCATATAAGTAATCGCTGATAACTTTTGTACTTGCACTGCGTGATATATTGTGTTCACCTCTTCCTCCCATTCACTTTCACTTCCACAGAGACCATTGAAGAAACCATCAGAAGAGGGGGAGGCACTGTTCCGAAGAAGCGAACAGAAATAGGTGAGTGAGAAGAAACGTTTTTCAGTGATCCTCCCTAATTCGCTTATCATTATCTGATAACATTAGTCTTTCATGTGCAACGCTTTAGTGTGGATATGATTTGATACCAAGTGAAGTCTGAGTTTGTATGGGTAGGGTTGGATGTCATGGGGATTCGAATAATTTGTTCATAATGCTTGTACTCGGTGTTCTAATCTCTTCAGTCAGGTAGCATTTTATTATTGACCATATGATATCAAATGTGAGTCTAAGGAGGCACAAGAGTAGGTTGAAATTATGTAGGTGAGTGAAATAGGTATGAGGATAGAGTTGAATTCACGTAGGTATGAGAAAGCGTCACTTCAGTTTGTTCAGACAGTGAGTGGCATGCAAAATTTGGTATTTTTCATGAAATGGTCCCGCACACTTCTTCCTATGAAAGACATTAGTTGAGAAATCTCCATCAATCTCGTAAATGTGGGTTTTTAATAACCACACCAGTTTGTAACGGCAGAAATGTCTTGGTTCGTTTGCCTAAGTCCATTACAATGCAATTGGGCTGAACACTTAACAGTAAAATACTGATGAAAATGTGCTCACTCATCCAACCAATTTTTTTTCATTGTCGCAGATTTTGATTACCAGCACAGCTACTGCGCTCTGCATATTCAAACAAGCAAGATTCCACTTTAGCATATTTTAAATGAACCCCAGAATATACCAATAACCTATCTTCTTAAAAGAAATTTCGTCAACATAAATCTTTTTCAAAAATCTTACGTATCTGATTGGGCCAGTGGCAGAATCAATAACACTGAAGATACTTCATGGACTTCATCCAAAAGTGTAACTGAAAATTTATTCAGTGTCTATAATGGTGTAAAATGTTCAATAGCAGGTGAATGGCAGTGTGTGACATCTCCGATGATTGAAAATTGCTCTTCGAAAATAGTTGTGAGCAGGACACAGACTTGTCAGTGTTTCCTACAACATTATAAGTTAACTATAAATCAGGAGACGGAAAACGCCGCATAGTACGCAAACACAAAATCACCATTATGGTCATCTAAGTAATTCGTTAATATCTTTTGTTCTTCACTGTTGTACCGCCACGTGATGTCATGTTCACAAAACTCCCCCATCCACTTTTACTTCCACAGAGACAATTGAAGAGACGATCAGAAGGCAAGGAGGAACTATTCCGAAAAAACGAACAGAAACAGGTGAGAAGAGACAATTTTCAGTTGTCACCTTAAATTCTTTTGTCTTTCATGCTTCATGCAATAGTGCGAATATGATTTGATTCCGTGTAGCATTAGAGTAAAGTACAGTTGAGAGTGTATGGCATGCAGATATCGTTAGTCACTCCGTGCTTCTTCTACTAAATATTCTACTCTCTCTTACATCGGATGCCACTTTCTCTGGGTTAGGTAATCTCAAGCCTTTTCTTAAATAGGCAGAGAAATAAGAAGTAAGCATTCAGATTAGTCAGATAAGAAGGATGGAGTTGCCTTCACACAATGCAAATTGCCTCTCTTCAACTTGTTGAGAGTGTGGCATGCAACAGTCGATATTTGTTATGATATTGTGCTATGGTCCTCACACGGCAACCGTTACTGGGGAAATCTCCGTGTGTTTCGTTGGTACGAGTTTTCAGTGATGATATGAGTCTGATTCTAATTGTTCAAGGAGAAATATCGCAGTTCTTTTGACCAAGTGCAGCATGATACAGGTAAGAGATTATAGAGCACTCAAAGCTTGTATATTGGTGAAAAGCAATTCAGAGACCTTGTTCCCTCTGCATATACAGGGAAGCATGTGTCCACTACTCACCCCAGACTACTTCTGAAATCTGTCTTCTTGAGAAGAACTGCGAAAAACCGAAATCCCGCACACAAAATAGTCCATCTGATTTAACTGTTGGTAGCATTATTCAGTGTGTGGATATTTCCTGCACTTCATCCAGAAATGTTGTCAAATACTTTCTCAGTGTTTAAGTTCATGCATGATGATGGAGATCAAATGAATAAGAATGAATGATAAATACGACGACTGAAGCTTGTGCTTCGATAGTCATTGTAAACGCTAGACAGAACTGGTAATTTTTACCATAGTATTACAGATTATTGATGAACAGTGAGACGGAAAACTCAGCACACATACAGACAAACGGAGACTTCGCCCTAAAAGGAGTCGTTGATATATTTTGTTCTTAATTGTTATGCCTTGTTCAACTATTCTTCCTACAAACTTTCACTTCCACAGAGACCATTGAAGAAACCATCAGAAGAGGGGGAGGCACTGTTCCGAAGAAACGAACAGAAATAGGTGAGTTAGATGAGACGTTTTCAGTGGTCAACTTGAATTCGGTTACAATAGTCTGAAAATATTTGTTTTTCATGTGTAACAGTTTAGTGCGTATATGCTATGATTCCGTAAAACAACGGAATTTGTATGACAGCGGTTGGATATCGTGGAGATTTGAAATAGTTTTCCATGATGATTATGTTAATTTTCAACTCTCTCTGGAGCCATATGTCATATGTTATCAAGATTAATTATAAATCGACACGTGAAGATGAGTGAAGCACGTATGAGGATGGATTTTTCATCACATAACCGTGAATAGGTTTCGTTTCAACTCGTTTAATAATTGGCATACAACAAGTGGCGTTTGTTGTCAAAAACTGTGCTGCACTTCTGTGAATTTAAGTAATACATAGGGCACCTGTGTCATTTTTTTTGACAGGTGTTTTTAGTGGCCGCATCGTGCGAATCTAGCCTTTAACAGGGTGAATGTCAACTTTTATTCGACCGCATAATAGTGCCAACAGACTGCTCATCAATTAAAGATTATATACTTACGAAAATGTACTCAATCGTCTGATGTATTTTTGCATCGTTGCTGATCTCCTTAACTCATGGAGCTACTTCAGTCCTGATATTCAAGAAAGCAAGTTTCCACTTCATCATATTGTAATCCCACCTCAAATTGCTCCGAAAATCTCTCTTAATAGAATATTCATCAGCCTAATTCCCGTGCCTAAAATATCACATGTGTTTAGACAAGAGGCAGCATCATTCGTTCAGTAGACGTTTCATTCATTTCACCTGAAATTGCAGTTGCAAACTCCTTCAGACTTTTTATGTATGTATCATGGTCAAAGCTGAGTAGATAAGAAGTGGTGCTGTCTAAGAGAAGATAGAGTTTAAAATGTTTTCTTTATGACTGTACATTATTTATGAACTAGGAAACTGATAAGTGTGCACATTTTGCACAAACCCATGCATCATTATCACCATTCTTAACATCACATAAGGGTTCATCAATTTGTTTGTTCTTGACTTCTTTTCTACCACATGATACTGTGTTCAACTATTCCACCTGCTAACTTTCACTTCCACAGAGACCATTGAGGAAACACTCAGAAGAAAAGGGGGAATTGTTCCGAGGAAGCGTACGGAAATAGGTGAGTGAGGACAGACATTTTCAAGCGGTCATTCTCATTCTTGGATGACATTTATCGTTAGTGTTTTACACACTGATATGTGTATGATTTCATTTCGTATAAAGTCAGTGTGTGTTTAGTTGAGATTGGATTTTACAGAGGTTTGAAAATTCCACTCGTAATGTGCCTGTTTTATGTGGATTCTTTTGAATTCTTCTATTGTTTTCTTATCTCTCCGAATGATTACATCTCATTCATCTTATTAATTAATCTCGTTATTTAATCCGATTACCTTTAATGCATGTCTCTCCCGTATTTATTGATCCCATGAGCTGTTCACATGTTATTTCTTTGCTTTGTTGTAAAAAATTGTATATAAACGCAGTTTTAGGCTTTCAGATATTTAATTGTATAGAATGATCCTCTTCAATGACCTTCTTGTGTCATTTATGATATATGTTTTCAATCGTTAATTCATTTTCACAAACGTTTCCAATGTGAGGAGGTCAGTGGTTTGCTAAGTATGATGGTTCGTGGTTCCCTCTCAGTGTGATTGATTTCCGATTGTCAAAGATATTTGAAGGTGTAATTGCTCCGAAGAAAAAATAGAAACACATTGCTGAAAACCTTTCCCTTTCTGTATTTGACATATGTGCTTGCACTTGATGACAGTCTTGTAAAGCCACAGTGTTCTGTCCTCGGTTCACAAGTCCTTTGTCAGCTCAGAAATCTGTATTTTCATATCAACCTCGACAATGAAGCCTTTGCTTTATTAACTGCTTGACACACAAAAGACAAAGAAATGCATCAGCGATTTATTTAAATTCCTGAAGACTGGACGTGATACGCAGCACATCATTCGGCGTGATTTAATTTAATGCGCACGTGACTCTCAATAGCAGATGTGTGTAAAGTTTCATCTGTTGAACAGTGACTAAAATTATAGCTAGGAGAGTCAGCAGACGTGTTAGTGAATCCCACACACTGTGAATCTCCAGCAACAGGTAGACGAATATAACTTGATAGATGACAAACCCTGCATTCAGAGATAGACAGGAGTTGTCGCAGGACAATTTCAATTTTAGGAATGTCCGGAATATGTGGCCATTTAAGTCTGTCCCTAACGAATTCTCCAGTGTTCCTTTATTATGTTCTCCTTTACAGGGTTTATTTGTTAATATTCAGTTTCTTCTTCTCATTTATGTTCCATCTCTTTCCCATGACCTGAACAACAGTAGGTCGCCCTTCAAATCTGAACAGGAGCCTTAATCTTTATGTATAATTTTTAAGTGTTTTGCTTAGTTATAACTACTGTTATAAAGCTCTTCTTTCGATATATATTTTTGTTTTATGTATATTGAAATTATAGTGGAAACTGATATTCGAGTGCGTAAGGGCATACCTAAGAAACGAACAATTTTCATTGGTAATTCAAAGTCAAATCATTTCTTCTTATGTATTTCAGTGATTGCACTTCTCATATTCATCTGCTTTTTGGGTATATTTGATAGTCAGACTGTTTATCCTCTCCAAGATTTGATTGTTAAAGTTACATCATGAAGTATACTGACCTTTATTATAGTATTTAGCAGTGACAGAGATAACTCAGAGTTAAAAGCCTTACAGTTTATCAGCCTTTACAACTTTCCTTGCTGGATTCTTTCCTAAGTGGTAGCTATCCTAATTAATATGTTCAGATGTACTTCTTCTGAGTGAATAATAAAGTCTGCTGTATACAATGTAAGGTAATTAAAATGAACATATTCAGAGTAAATTCTTCAGTTATTCGTAATATCGTTTTGTATGACTTTAATTCATTTGTATGCTTGACATTGTCAATCTGGTCTAGTGAAACATTTGCCAATTTTTCGGTCATAATAATCTAAGCTGGAGGTGAATGCTGATATAGAAAGTAGGTCATCCTTATTTTGCCTGCAGATCCTGAGAAAAACACTTTTTGTGATATAAATATCAAATAAATGAGTTAGTTGTTACGACTGTTATTGTCTGAACTTCCTAAACTACAATTTAAGGTTCTTTCCGTATGCTCATCTCGTCTGATAATCATTTAGAGTAATTTGACTGCCTGTGTAGCTTTCCTGGAGGTTTTAATACTTGGCAGAATTTGACTATTCATGCTGTCGATTCTATTGGGCATATTCAGCACAAAAATATGGATGGATACATAAGTCACTTGCCTATTGGATTGGTGGGCAGTTGGGTAGGACGTATCGTGAACTGGTAGAAGTTGCAATTCATGGGCCAACTGTTGGATCAGGTCCCCATGTCTGATTGTTATATGAGTTCGCCTTGTGACTGAAAGATCCTGAATTCGAACCGCAGCAGTGGGTGCGTATAGATGAACAGCTACAAACTGGGGCGAAACAGGTTTTCCAGTACGTCCAGATTTTCCAATGGTTCTCTAAATCATGTCAACTCATAATCGAACCTGTAATCATAGGCATCAAGAGTTCTCATCCATTAGTATAAAAGCTGCTCTTTTGGAGGCTTTTACGGTGATATTAAACCATACAATAACTTTTAACACAAACTTTCAGAAACCATTATTCAGAAAATGAACAAGTTCTGGCGTCGTCCAGTAAGAATATATCGAAGAGCAGGTAAGAATAGAGTTTTTAAAACATTTTTCCCTTAATTCTACTATATTTCAGTTTATGACATAGATGCATCTGATTTCTTGACTGTCACTTATGATTCCAAACAGATCACATGTCGTCTTCTGAACAATGTCGGTCTCCAAAGGAAACTGTAGTGAAATTTCCCCACGAACTGAGTAATTTGCAGGTCGTAAATTTAATTTTGGCAGATTATAACAATGAACCAATATAAACGTGCTCAGCTTCTACTATAGACTCAGACTTATACATTATACTAATACACATAATATCCCAATGCAATTAATCTGTTCATAAATCCATCATCTTGATATCATTTCCAGTCTACTAGAATCTGATACAACGCTATCACAAAGATGTCCACTAGACACCAGTGAAATAAATAAGAGCTTGAAATTCTCTTTAGAAATTAATTATTTTACATTTAAACGGAATTTAGATAGACAGACAAATTTTGTTGCTTTGGGTTCACCAGTTTCCCCAATAGTCGCTGACCTTTTCATGAATAGATTCGAAGATAACATCTTTTCAAGCATACTCAAGCCTAAAATATGGTTAAGATATGTAGATGATACTTTTGTAGTGCTGAAACGAGATGCACACAGTTCATTCTTGGTGAAAATAAACAATCTATCTCCCATAATCCACTTTACTTAGGAAGCAGAATCTGAGGTCAGGGAACTACCATTTCTAGACTTCCTAGTTAAGAGGAGGGAAAACGGACATTTTAGTATATCTATATTCAGGAAGAAAATCCACTTCAATAAATAATTAGACTTCGGATCATCACACCCCATCAGCGCAAAGGTATCAGTTGTTTCAAGTCTTCTTAGACGAGCACACTCTTTGATGTTAACGGATGAGAAAGAAAAAGAAGAAGAAATATCAAACATCACTGAAACTCTCAAACAAAACAACTACCCAAAGAACTTCATCAACAAAATCAACACTGACATTAAGTATGGTCAAAAACGTGTTCCGAAAACATGGACCTCAACAGTTGTCATTCCATATAGAGCGGAGACGTCAGACGATATCAGAAGAGTACTCAATAAGCTCGACATCAGAGTTTTTTCCAAAATATGAGACACACTGCGAAGCAACCCTGTCCATATAAAAGACCAAATCCCTAAAGATTCTCTATCTAATTGTGTCTATAAAATAAAATGCTTTGAATGTGATGCTATATATATCGGACAAACATCTTGAGAAACCAAAATCAGAAGAAATGAACACCGTGGGGCCACCTCTGTCCGACCATCGAGAAATCCAGTTGAACTAAAAAAGCCTGAAAAATCATCAGCCATAGGTCTAGACGCTATAGAATCAGGCCAAAATATTGGTTTTGACAATATTGAAATCATAATCCAAGAAAGCACTTCAGAAATCACAAAGAACGTCTAATGTCATCAGAAGCACTTCATATCAAGTGGAATCCAAATTGTTTGAATAGTAATGATGGACTACAACAAAATCTGACCTGATTACAACACCTCGCTTCCCCATGAAGTGACAAAATCAGTAATAATTAATTTCATTATGTAAATACACGCTAGTTTTATAATTTTACACATTGATCAAATCCAACAAAGTACACCTGGTTTTGTTATCTTTACCAAATGGTCAGTTTGAAATTTATTAAAGGGACTAATTCTTTTTAATTATGCGACAAATAAGCAGGAAGAAATGGAGATGGATTGGCCATACTCTCAGGAGACCATCAAGTGGCATCAGTAGACAAGCCCTCGAGTGGAACAGGAAAGGGAAGCGGCGAGTTGGTCGTCAGTGCACGGGTGGGGTGACTTGGAGGAGGTCATGTGAAGAGAAGAGGAAAACGTGTGGACAGACTTGGAACCAGATAAAGACTCTAGCAGAGAACCGAACGCAATGGAGACGCTTGGCTGAAGCCCTATGTTCCTCTAGGAATTAAAGGAAGCAATAATAATATTAATTTTGGATCCATTTGAGAATATGCATATAGGAATAAACATAATGGAGAACTCATCGATCTTTGCAAGTAAGGGCTTCAAAGCATACTCCTAAATGGCCCCAGAAGCAAATAGAATTTTCAGAACTCATTAATGGTGAGAACAGGAGACCTAGCTCCTCTATTGAGAAACGTTCTATAGAGACAGGACATAAAATCGACGGTAACACATCTTTTTAACCTATCTATAAAACGTGTTTTGGCGAGGGCGTATCCTATAGTTGGTGGAAGCCCTAGCTAGATGTACTGTTACCTCTGTTATCTGATTTCGTGATCTCCTTTGATATTTCCACCTTCAATGTGTCCTTTTAACTTGACCTGTGTCTATTTTCTCACTTCCTAACTCTTGATTAATTTCATAAATATGCCTATGATAAGTCCATGTGTATGTGATCAGATTGTTTGAAATGTGTTGCGCGAAAACATAAGACAATTCAGACAAATTACGTCTTCTTATTGCTTTGTCAAAACAAGTTATTATCACTGTAGAATTTCAGCACAGTGCTTGTGTGGGTTCAAACTCCAGTGAGTAGGTACTGCTGAGGATTCCCAAACTAAGGTGAAACAGCTATCTAATACTTACTGTTTTTCAATGGTTCTCTATCTGATATCAATCCATGATCAACTCGTGAAAAAACAAAACCAACCCTTAAAAAACCAAACTATAGTAAATATAATTAAATATATCTACATAATAATAAGACTATTTTATTCGAAGATTATTTTCCGTATCTTTGTGACGGGTTTTATTCCATGCCTATTACGCGTGTTGAACGCTGATTGGATGAATAAAACTTCAGTGATTAATCTCTCTACCTCCACCTAAATAAATCTGTCACCCTGTCCAACTTTATCATATCATTGTACACTAACCCATACATAAATATCGTTATCAGATAGACTTATTTAATATGAAATTACAGTATTGACATATGTACAAATCTCAGTGAAACTGAAATAAGCAATTCCAAAGTTTCGTTCGGCAAACTGGTCCAAAACGTCTTCAGTGAAATTGATCAAAATTAACATTATAGAGGTTTATATATAGAAAGGACATTTCTTATTTTTAAAAATTTTGTGCATTCAAATGAGTCATGAATCAGGCATCAAAATACAATAAACAAAGTTGCATGAACTGTGATCAAAATTTGACCTCAGACTTACAAATATTAGTCCACTTTTGTTAAACGTTTTGTACTTTTTCACCCGATATTTAGTGATTTCGTTAGGCTAAAGTTCATGATCGTAAAATTTTGCTGGTTTCAGCCTTCATTTTATTCAATGTCGCCCTTGACTTTGTCATGTTGACTTTTCCAAAGGGGCCGACATTAAGGTGATCAATAGGTTTTTTTCCTAATCTACATAGATCATAACAACCGTGGTATTGCTTCTGTCTTCTCTTATGATGACCATCAATCTACCTCTTTGTAGTAGTTTTAATGCCAGTTACTCGCCTTTGCTTATATTTGGTGTATTTGGCTTCTGATTTCGTAGTACAGATGTAATTTTGTGTCTTATAACGTTTGCCTCTTCGGATGTCACACAGTGTAAAGACGGTTCAATGGCTGGAACTATTTCGAAGGGCAATAAACGTATTCTGTTTAAATTAAAATGAAGTCACAATCAAGTAAATTTCTGTCGGAGAGATTAAGCACCACTTTGTTCGTATCTAGAATGTTATGACTCGGTGTATTTTTAGAATGGTGTTTAGGATTACAGTTTAATTTAAATCCTTTTGATTTGTCTTCTTTTTGAAGATTGAGGATAAAATTCTTCTTTAACCTGGATTATTTTGTTAATGAGAGTCTTCAATTCTGATGTGACTAGGGCTGATAAGGTTTCATCAATATTGGAAACTCACATTCGTAATGATTCAATATTTTTGGTTGTTCTATGAATGCATTCTCGTATAAACGTTCTAGTTGCGGAAAAAGCTACTTGAACCGTTAATGCTTCAGCTGTACACAGAAGTCACGGTCTTGCTCCTTTTGATAGATTTGATCTGATATCATATAGGACTTTGTGAATAGTGCTGAGTGTCATAATTTCATCACTATGGTAGAGTACAATGCTATCATGGAGAAAATTTATATGATAAAGTCTCACAATGTTATACAGTAATACTTACTGATTATGTTTTGAACACAATTTAATGCTCATAAGCATATCAACATAGAAAACTTTCCAGCCACGTTTATATAATTCCATTAGCTTTCAGTTTGATTGGCAGTAACACGGAAAATACCAGAGATATGGAAAAAATGTACATGTACACACACAGAAATAATTATATACAATTGCGATTGTACGGCTCTGTGAATATATTCGCCGCAGAGAGTCTCTTCGCTGAACGTCTCCTCTTTCTCATATGACTCAATGGGGACTTTCAAGCTACTTAAATCAATAGAGGAATTAGTTGACATGATTATGAGCAATAAATTGTGTTCGAGACATCATCAATAAATATCACATTATAACTCTTTGAGACTTCATCAAATAAGTTTCCTTGATGCAACAAAGGTTAATCAAGCTATCCTGCTTCATTAACTTTTGTTGCTTCTTTTAAATTCGTATCAGGAAATAAATGCTTCCAAATTTTCTTCATGCTGGAATTATGATGTCCGACAAAGGCCAAGTTCTATTCTTATATCATTCGTAAACCAACATATGGTGAACTCAGAACACTCAACTCCATTTAAAAAACTACGAACATTTTCAAGAATTACTAATTGCTGTAACTAAAACTTTCAGGGATTTCGACTGTAATAACTGTATTGAGTTAATTAACACAGTCAAAGGTAGTGATGTATGCTATCATTCTAAATAACTATGGAACATGCATGCAAAATGGAATACTTTGCGACAATAAATAACAGTAGCAGCAAAAATAATATAAGGTCTGCATGAAATATTAACTATCCAGTATTTCCTCATGAAATTTAACCACTTTGATTCGGTGGGTAATGACTCACCAGTGGGACAGCCTTTATATTAAACAGTTCACACAAATACTTAACATAATTGCATTATCATATCAAGCTCAGTGTGACAAATTCACTGCATTGAATTTATTCTTTATTGGATGGTGACTGGCAGTGGAATCTAGAATACACATTTCGTCATATTTAGCACTCATCAGCTGTAATCCCACGCCGCGAGTGACAGTGATGCTACTGAGACTCGAAATCTGCACACATTGTTTCAAATGCCGAAGCATTATTCACTAGACCACTTGGGTCACAACAACCACGTCTTGCACAGGGAATATCAATTACTACTTGCCTAAATTAAGAAGTGGACATATTAACAAAGACCTAACAATTCAGTCCAGTATAATTGATCAACCATAAACATTGAATGAAATTAAACAAAGGCAACCGCTTCAAAGTAGAGATTTTAATCCACCATCTTCAGTGTTTGTTGTGTTTTTTTCTTAATTTAACTATAAAAAATTATTTAATTGTAGGTGGTGATATTGCAATATATGTACGAAAATCCGGTAATCGACGTATTCGCATACATAGAGGAGTTGCACTTTGGGGTAGACGAAGATGTGTGATTCGGGGAGGTATTCGACTAGGATGTTGCAGACGTTGTGCTAGACGTTATGTACGTGTTCGCCGGTGTTCCTGCTGTCCTGCTTGTTGAATCACATTAAATTTCTAACATAATCCAATGAAATTTTATTTCAACAATTAAGTTTCTTTTTCTAATGCAAGGTCTTCAACTGTCCATTCTAATTACTTACTTCTTCTTATTTACTGTAACATTGGTTTGAAATTTTTTTGAAATAAATCGAATGTCTTGTTATTAGTTTGTTTTCAAGTTATTCAGTATTTACCGGTGCTGGAATAGGTTGCAAAGTACTTGAATTTTTTCAACCTAGCGAGGTAGTTTTCCGAGCTAATACTTCTGCAAAATATTCATATTTGTATGCTAATAGTCGCTGGCCATTTTGAAGATATATACAGCTATAATGGAGTAAGCATTCATTTGGAAACTTTGAGCAAGTAAATACATATTTTTTAATCATATAGCCTAGATCGTCATTGATAGTTTCTTAAGTGTAATCTGTAGTAGAGTAGGGGAAATAACTTTACGTTATTTGATACCTGCAAGACTATCCTAACTGAAATTACACAAAACTAAGTAACTACTTTAGAGTGTTTCATAGGTGTCTAGTAGATCCTGCAACCAAACTTAAACAAAACGCACATTATTTAATAATACAGTTGACAAAATGCTTGAAAGACTAGGCTGATTTTGTGAACAAATTTGAGACGTTTCAATTAGGGCTACCCATTGTTTATTCACGTCTTCAAAACTTGCATATCTCAACATGCTTCAGACTAACATTTGTCGACTTTGTCGATTGATCCCGCATTCTGACCTGGAAAACTTTAATTAACTTTCAGCCTCATCATAATTTATCGAAAAATGCTTAGGGAATGATGAGTTTTGTGATCGTGTATAGCTTGTTTGATTGTGATACTCAGAATTATGGATTCGACTGTCCAATTTTTCATTTACCGAAAAATATTACATCAGAGATATGAAAAGATAAGAACATATAGTTCAGTAAAATGTATGTTTTAAGAAAGTATATCCACTTGATACTTGAATGCGGTTATTTCGTTGAACATGTAGAAGGCATTGATACATTGAAGCAGTTTCCCGGTTGTCGTTATCTAGGATTCTTAATAAGGCTGGAATTAGGGTGGCTTTCAAACAAATCATTTAACTCAGGGAAAAACTATGTCGACTTAAGGACCCGTTAGATCCTATAAAGAAAAATTATATAATTTACCAAGTATTATGTAATGAGTGTGGTGTTAAATACATAGGTCGAACTAGTATTAGATTGAATGAATCAAGAACAATAGTTTGTGCAGAATAATATAGTACCATCACTTATCTCATAGGCTTCTCATCGGCTGCTTACGGATAAATAAATTATTAAGTTTATGTACAAAAATAATTCAAAATACCTGCTAATTTCATAAAGATTTCAGTTGACAGGAGGTTCCAAAATTACATTGGGAGAACAGAAAGGAGGGCACACCTCCGATTTCCTGATCATGTACATAAAAGCCTAGGTTTCAAGGGAACAAACACTTACAATAATGCCATTACCAGGCATCTCCTTGATACTCGTCATGAGGTGGAAATCGCGAAATGTTCAAATTACCACTAGGCAACAAAGCCCAATTCTCCTCAAGTTTGCCGAAGCAGATTTGGTTTAATCCTTGAACTGCTTGTGTAAAAACTAAATAAGTGTAATTCCCGAATCTCCTGTCACCTGACATCATGTAAAATTTGTAAGTATGTTGAAACCTTTCTGTAGATAAATTCAATAATTTATTTAGTCTGCAAGCAGCCGATGAGTAGCCAAAGAAATAAATGATGGTACTATTTTATTCTGCACAAACGCTTATTCTTGCTTTATTCAGATTCATAAAGGGGAACAATTGTATGTAGTATTAGATTGCTGGAAAGTAGGAATTTAGATAGATCTGGAATGACTTTCCCTCCTAAGTTAAATAATCTAGAAAAAAAGCGATTGCAGTGCATTCACTAGCGTGTATCATAACACCTTAGGGTGAGACAAGGTGAAAGTATCAAAAAGTAATATACAGTTAGATGAACAGAGGTTAATCGCCGAATCTTTGTTCACCCAATCAACAGCAAACACGTGTAATCGAATTGGCTCATCGCCTCTACCGGTTATAAGGAAAGTCGCAATGAATAATAAGGTGAAGAGAAAAAATATGTGAGGCAAATTATGAAGCTATTTCAATAAACCGCTATGATTATGAGCAGCAATGCACTGTTCTTGAAATGTCACCCAGTTATTGATACTATCACAAAACATCAAAATAGTATTCTCATCACAAGATAATAAATGTTAAAGGATACAATATTGATCCAAATGTAATATGAAACTGAAAAGGGTTCATGATATTCAGTTACTAGTTGCGTAACATGATGAAATATTTGAAAAATTATGTGTGACCTCCAGGTTCACAGAAGACTGGAAAAGAGGATATCATGTATGTGAAGAATATAACGAAGAAACCGAATGGTTTAGAATGATAACATCAGTCATAATAATAAGAATAATACCGACTTGAAACATAAATGTTACTGGAAACATCAAAATATCATGTTAGAATCACGACAGAACAAGCTACTTCAGTGTATATATCTATGAATTGTTCATGTGAATAGCCGGAGTTTCAGCAGTGTGAGGAATAAAAAGGAGTACCATCTTCAGAAGAAATAGATTATTTCCCAAGATTTAGTCGCCAGTTTTAACAGGATAGTCAGTTGTCGTGCTCTTCATTGATCCGTTGTTATATATTTCAATCTGTACATGGTAATATTTCTTAGACCCTATGGATACATTTATCTAAGACAACCTTGGTTACCGAAACACACCCACAGATATTCATAAACGCACACACACATAGAACAAAATGTAGAAGCCAGCACTACCTGTTTTCAGTCACATCTTCCTCAGGCTGTAGTTCACAACTTGATGATGAAATTTTAATCAATGTCAGGGATTTCTAGGTGGATGATAAACTGAATCAGGTCCTCGATTTTCAATTTACACAGTTCGGCGTGAAACTGAAATAGAGTTTCCTTTGGGATGCAAAACTATTTAGATCGAGATTAGCTTAGGTAAGCAGGTTTAAATTGATTTGGCTCTCTCAGCTGGGTCAAACTGGGGACACTACTGATGAGCTCGGTGTGGAATGAGCGAAACGACTGGGTGGTGTTTAAATCACTTCGATTCGGCTAGCATGCACTACTGGTTAGTGTGAGTGGAATCCAGCTACTCAAATCAGTCAACAAGCAGTATGTGGTGTCTTGCAGCAAATCCCAATATAGGTAAGCAATCCGGCACTGATAATATCCGTGATATCGATGCTGATGGAAATAGTAGGCTGATAACCAACACAGACAGCAAATGAAGCTGTTGTTATACTAGTGATCAAGTGACTTAAAGGATAAACACAGAAAGACGCGAAAATATCAATTCCGCTAAAATATTTGGGTTATGTAGTGCTTGAACCGTCTTAAGTTGAATTTTGTGATTGGCTATCAATAATTAGTAAAGCAGTAATGAGAGGCAATAAAACGCTGTTTTCTCCAGGATTAAATCTCTTCAGTATCTTACTGCCTAGGCGACAAGTGATATCATGGAGATAACGTGAAGAAGCGTGCACATCACTATTCGGTTAATAGATTGCAATGTACGTTCTTTTCAATTTTAATAATATATAATATATGCATTGGCCATATCATGCCTTGTAAATCTGATTGTTAAATTGTGTCATACTGTTATCACTGTAATTATTCCTTTGGGTTTCGAGTGGAACACAGGGCTTCAGTAGTACACCACTATTTCATCTTGTTTTCTGAAGTCGTTCTGAGTTGTCTCCACTATTGCTCATATGACTATATCTCCTACTTGAACGCACAACTGGTCATTTCCCATCAGGGCTCCACTCAAGTGATGGCCTGGACCGCTGTGTTATTCACTGGTCTTCTTAGCGTGCGTCCAATCCATCGTAATTTCCTTCGCCATATTTGTTGACGAATAATTTGTTGACAGGTTAATAGTCAGAGCTCCTTATCGCTATTCCTTTCTGGTTGACTATCTGGTCGTTTTTATGAAGCCACCGTAGACAGCTGTTGATGAAGTCTGTTACAGGCTGTTAGAAAAGCTTTTCATAAAACGCCAAGATTATGACCCAGTCACTACACAAACTTCTTAGCACAACAAAAGTTGCGTTTTAAATTAAGGGTACCTGGTACGCAGTTGTAATATGTGTATAACCGTTTCTGTCATTATGTGCTAAAATGCATCATTCCACTTAGGAATTCAAGTAATAATATCGATGATCAGTGTACATGGAAACCACCGGCATAAAATAGTAGTGCTCACCAGACAGATCCCTGTAGGATGTATACCAGACGATAATTTCATCCATTTGGTAAAATACTGATAAGAATATTATCAAGAGTGATTCAAATGATGCAGTCGAACCATATGAATGTATGCTTATCCGATGAAATATGTAACATCAGACAAATCACATACTACAACCTAAATAGTCTGGGCTTACCAAATAAATAGTAGTGGGATCGCAGCTGAAATGTGAACTCTGAAACTAAGCAACTGCATAAATTTGAAATCTATCAGAAAATCAGTTTGTGTTCAGCCTGTCAGGAATCCTAACTATTTGCTGATTTCAGTTTCAAGGTGAAATCTTCCACACTGTGATAAATCTCGACTCTCTCAGATATCGATAGCTAATATATGGCTGAACATATTGTGATCAGACATTTCAATAGTTCATAGTGACTGAATAAACCTAAGTACCAGAAGTACTGATTAATTGAAGACCGATCACCAGGAAAAGGATAATTTCTACGTCGTTTCGTTGTGTAGTATCAACATTTATCGAAGATATTAGATAATTTTAAAAACAATTCAAATTATTTATATGAAGTCATTTTTTCTATACGACCGCTGTCAATGTAGTTGAAGAATGAAAGATCGATTCATGGTTGTTTACTCAAAACCAACTGCATATTTTGGCGGCAGTAACCAATACTGCAATCATCGTTCCATCGTACGCTGTTCGTTAGAAGACGAAGAAATACTATCAGAAGTATTATTGTGATTAATTGTTATGACATTTATTCTTAGACTTTGTGTATAATAACCTTATGGTTGGTTCCATATTGGTGCAATAATAAAGGATTCTCGAGTCACCAATCTGTGTGCTATTTTCTCACGTTGGTTATTGCACATTGTTCCTGAAGATCTTCTAAGGACAGCGTTAAGTCCAGTGTAGTTAGACCTGGACATTGACAGCCGCTTATGGTTCTTCATTTGAAAGATGAAGTACGTAGACTAGCTACCTCTTCTTACATCTGTCATTTCAACTGCGTTTGTGAAGAGAGTTATATTGGCCTATGCTCTAAGAACTTGTTTATTCATGACAGGGAACACCTACCAGTGTGACTAAATAATGGTGTAATGAAAACCATAAATAGTGCGATATTAGATCATCTAGTCCAAACTGGCCACAAAGCTGACATTGAAGAATCCTTCTCTGTCATCTCTGGGGTACCGAATAAATTGCTGAGAGTATCCAGGTACTGAATACTCCAAACAGCAGGGTCTAAAGCAATTCACTTAAAACATGTGTTGCTGTGTGTGCAAAAGAAACAGTTCCAGCTACTATTGATACTCTGGTCTGCTGTGGAATCTACAAATTCACAAATGCTTTATTACGTCTGCCTTTTATGTATGACTCTCCATCTTTTGTATATAAATTACCTTACTCCTTGTCGTACGCTTGCATAAAAAACCTTTTCTTTTTTAAACGTAGTCATGATCTTACGCACTTGCACGCAAAACGCACATAATCGTTTATCCCGATTTCTATCCCTGTCCTTGAGACTATCACTCATCCATATAAAGTTTATTATCAATTTGCATAGAATTTGATATAAACATTACTCATGAGATGTCATTACTATACATTCACTGTTATTCGTAATCATTTGCCTTGGAAGATTGGTGTTCAGTTCACTGTTATAATTGTACATATTGCCACAAGCAAATGTTTTGAACTACCATCTGGCTCCACCTCTACCCACATGCTTTCATCTCCTCTCCACATGACCTCCTCCATGTCACCCTCTCACTTATGGCCAACTTGCCGCTTCCCATTCGAGTTCCAATCGAACAATGGCCTGGCATGTGATGTCACTTGATGATTTGTTTTCTCAGAGTATGACCAATCCACCTGCATTTCTTCCTGCAGATTTGTTGCACAATCGGTTCCTGGTTGGTTTGCTCATTGCCAGAGATCCCTGTTGCTGATCTTTTCTGGCCGGTCATCTGATCTTGAGTATTGAGCGAAGACAGCTGTTGGTGAAAGTCTGTAGTTTGTTCGAAGTGCCCTCCGTGACGCAGCACGGTGCCAAGTCTGTGATCCGTATAGTAGAACTGACTTCCCATTGGAGTTGAAAATCTGGAACTCATTTTTCATACTGAGTGCTGTTGACCTCCACACAGACTTGAGAGAAATGAAAGCTTACCTTGCTTTCCCGATCCTGGTTTTGATGTCCTCGTCATTTCTGTCCACCTGTAGGTAAAACGATGCTTCCCAGGTAGGTAGGTAAAGGAGGTAACTTCTTTCAGATTTCTCCCATTTATGCTGATTGTTGTCTGTTGTTGTTGTTATTGCTGCTGTTGCTGCTGGCCAGGAATCTTCATCACTTCTGTTAAGTCAGGTTAATAAAAGTTAAATGTAGGATAGCAACGTAATCTTTCTTTCAATAACATAACGAAAATTTGCGTTTTGTGCTTTCAAGATGCCGCGTTTCAGGTGCTCGAAAAATGGATACGTTGATTTACTCTAAGGATTGTCATCTTCCCTGCATGGAAATATGTTAAACGTTTTTACTTAACTCAGACAATTATCTTATGAACTGTAACTGTTTGACACACCTAAAAGTCCTGACTGTTTGGATAATTATGGTCAGTCATTCAAGCGAATAGTTAATTTTTCTCAATGTGATTCAGCGGGCTATTGTCAATTGATACATGTGTTCCAACCAAATTCAGACTATTGTTATTGTCTTTGTCTTTGAAAGTCATATTGGGGTTTTTTAGAGTTATGTCATAAAACTAAAGATTGAAAAGTCCAGTAATACACACACACGCAGATATACATAAAGTTTCCAATATGACAAAACTTCCTTACTCAGTAATAAATACTTCTTTGACAGCCAGATTATTTCTGATTATTTGATCAATATTAAGAGAAAAAAAATATGTAGACACCTAGGGAAATGACTGGGTTCATGAGTGTCATTGTCACTATGAGAAATGACACAAAGCTTTTGACACAAAATCCCATGCTGTTGACATGTGAAATAGAGTAGAATTTAGTATATATAGTCAGTTACCTTACTAATCTCTATCAACTACTACTCAACAACTAGCTATCAAATAATGATAACATCTAAGGTAAGTTAGAGTTTGTCCGGTTGATCTTTAACTCTGATTCTCTCTTTCATTTTTACTTCTTTTTGTAGATTATTCATCTATTCTTCTTCGTATTTATCACTGTTCATATTATAATCTGCGCTGAAGGAGGTAACTTCTGTAAAGATCTTTAATATTTAGTTTGTAATAACTGTTTTATTCATATCACTGGAATATATTAATTTTTTACAAACAGTGTGAATAGCTTTCATGAAATCTACAAAAAGCTTATAAGCTTTTATCGGTAAACACAAAGCACATCAAAATGACTGATCAGTTGACAACTTCTCTCATAACGTCTGTGGAACTGCTAAAGGTTTATACTGAGTAATTAATGAATTAGAACGTCTCACGTTAACATGTACATAACACGTAGATTAATTTTACGTTGTATCCATGCAGAGCTGAAGAAAGACACACAAGAAGATGTGAAGTTCGAAATATTGTATTGTAGGTATCTACTCTTATATTTCATCGTTTGTTGGGGCGAAAATGGGTAACACTGATGCTTTCCACTTCCAAAAACTTGAGTAAACGTGGCTCAAGTTTCTCTAAAAAGTACATCTCTTTGTCTGTAAGATATTATGTGTAAGACATTTTCCTATTATTACGATTATTTTGCCCATGAATGCCAAGTGGAGAGTTTTTCTTCAGCAACATCTCTCCACTTCAATCTTTTCTCAGTAGTTCTCCTTTTAACTGGTTCTACGATTGCCTATGACCTTTTTCCTCCACCTCCATGTCACCCTAGGACAATTCACTCGTCGTTCCCCATTCGGATTCCACTGTAGGTCACTCAAAGTTCTTCTCAGCGTGTACATTTCCATTTCGTTCGATATATATTTGTCAGAGAGTAGGTTCTTCACTGATTCGTTAATAGAGGTCCTTGTTGCTTATCCTTCTTGACCAATTGTCTCATCTTCAGTACGTGGAGAAGGTCTTCAGTACACTGTTGGAAATGCATTTCGTGAAGCGCTTTCCAAATCTGTGAGCTAAATAGTCGAATTGATTTGACATTAGTTTTGGAAATGTGAATCCTGTTTACGCTGAGTAAAGATGATTTCTACACTGACTTCAGATTAATGAAGGTGTGTCTTGTATTTCCGTTGCGACCACACCCGGCTTTAACATCCTCATCCGTGCCAACTGGCAGTAGTTGAAACGGTACTGTCTAGATGACTGAAAGTAGTGACCTCCTGCAAATTTCTTCCATTGATATTGATTGGTACTTTTTGTTGTTATTGTTGTTGTTGCAGTCTCATAACTTCATCATTTCTGACTTCTCTGTGTATCTTTGCTGCTTTTTCTGTCAACCTGTATAATATTTTCGTGTTTCCATAAATATTTTTTTAGTTTAGGGCGGATTTAATGTTCACTATTTTTTCTTTCTTCTATTGAACAAACAGGAAATGAAACTAAAAAAGATACGCCAAAGAAAAAGTTTGTCTACACAGGTATGAACTCTCGGCAGACATACTTTTCAACTACAATAATAATAATGTTTCTTATAAATTATAGATTGGAGTGACTGGGAAACAGCCTATGAATATGAATCAGAACAGAAAGCAAGTAAAAAAGGCGTTAAAGCCGGTAAAGGTGGAAAGGCTGTAACTGAAGATTCAGGTAAGTTTAACTGCATATTCTTCTTTATTTTCTCTTATTCTAACTCTATGAATGATGTATTAATTTGTTCCTGCCTATTTAATTCTATTGTTTAACAACAGAATGGCAGATTGTAACAGAAATTGTGACGGAGATTATTAAACCAAAACGTAAAGAGAGTAAGTTTTAATTTTGAGGAGTAAAAATAATCGTATAATGTAAATATGATTTTATAACTAAGGCTACATTATTTCACCGCATTATTAACAGCTTTAAGTGATCATTCTAACTTTGGCCAAATTTTTATTCGGTGATAGTCTGATCTACCCTGATCTACTGGTTTGATCTATGTAATTGACCTCACAGTCATTGTATAGCTTTCATTAATTTATAGTATTTTTCTTAATTGGATCCGTTGGGTGGTTAAGCTGACAAAGATTGATTTCATAAATTGACATTAATTTCAAAAATCATTCAAATTGGACAGTACACAACAATGTATAAGAGATTTTTTTCACTTTAGGGGTCCATAATTAGCAGCATAAAGTCAGGCAAGTCATTTAAAGTTACTTAAGTTTGAAACAAAACAGTTTCTTCCATAAATCACCAACTGAAAACATTAAAATTGTATATCAAAGAAATTTGTGAGAATAAATTCCAGAATAACTAGATGTAAACGATTGTTATTATTTATTATTCCCTCGGGTTCCATTTGGAACATATGGCTTTAACGGCACACATCCATTTTACTCTGTTTTCTGTAGTCTTTTTTGCTTGGTTCCACGATCGCCGATAAAGTTTCATGTCACCTTCACACCATCTCCTCTATGACACTCATGGAATCATCTCTCATTTGTGGTTCCAATAAACGGTCTTCCCAGAGTAAATCTTATCTATCTCCATTTCTTTCTGCATGTTTGTTGAATGACTGGTTATTGGTTGGTTTTCTTTGACAATGTTGCGTATTGTGTATGCTTTCTGGTCGCCTATCTGATTTTCAGTATGAAGCGAAGGCATTTTTCAACAACTGATGACAAACATTACAGTTAGGTATATGGGATTCTTCAGTGACTGAAAATATTTGTTGAGTAAAACAGGTTTATTGCGTGAAATGTATACACATAGTAGTGAGCATAACAGAATTCAGAAAATTAACCATGTACCGATCTGAATTTTTTGTAGACAATTACAAATGAAACACTAGTTTTTCATAATATTATTCCCAATTAAAAAAGATGCCAAAGATGAGAATCTCTAAAACGATCTCAAACATGTATTTGTTTCAAGTTGTCGAAGCCTTTGTACCTCATTTTCTGTTTGTAAAATGGATAAGCTAGTAAGATCTGACCATATTTATCTATTATAATTAGTGATAACGTTGATGAGCTTTCTGTCTAAACCATTAGGCGTCAGAATATCTGTTTAACTAACCAACTAACTCAAGATATTTTACTCCAGAAACACTGGTTTAAACAGAAGAAGGAGACAAAAAACGGTGGGAAACGATGAACTGAAACTGGTAGGCTTCACAGAAACCCAACCAAAAGCTTTGGGTTATGCATATTAGTGTACGCAATTTATGTGAACACCAGTACTACAACTTTTAACCGTGACACTATTATGTGTAAAGTGACAAGATGGTTCAGATCATATAAATCTTGTTAAGAACTCAGGAACACCACATAAATCAGTTGAGAGAATGCCTTATTGATAAAAAATTTCCATCATTGAAGATAGCAGCACCGCATGCTGTTTAGTCAGTGCGATGGAAACACTGACGTATTCCTTAGATAATTCATATCAGAAAGTAGAATCATAAAATATAGTTTAAAAGAGCAGACTTATTATCACTCGTTTCCAATATTTTTAGAGACCGTTGAAGAAATTACGAAGGAAGAAATTGAAACAGTTCCAAAAAAGAAAACGGAAATAGGTAACGATATTTATATATATAAATGGATGCACTGATAATTGATTTACACGAGGAAAGAGCCTGTAAATGTTACTGGTTTGGTAGACAAATTTAAATGATTTGGGATTTCACTACAGATAGGGGAGGTGGTTGTACATCAGATATTTTCAACTATCCTATAAGCTAAATTTATATCCAGAAGTTGTTTCCAAAAGGAACTTATTTATTCATCGAAACTTTTTTTGAATGGAACGCGCAGAAATTAGTTTCACTCAGTGAAGTATGATGAGGATCAGTTTGCGGAAGTTTCACACAAGATTGAATGAGAAGAACACTTTTCTTTCCTAGCAGTTTATCATCGTCATCATATTTTGCGGTTTAATTAAAGCGTATGACAACCACTTCACAAGTTTCTTTGTACATTGCTGTCACAGACTAGCAATTATTTCCACTGTGCTTAAAGTTACGGGAGAATACAAACCTCGAAACATTAAATGTACATTTTTGTGGAAAGAATTTTCAATGACTTTCATTTTAGAATGCTACTGAGGTGGTTATTACTACATTTGTATTTTATTTCCATTCTCTACAGAAACCATAGAAGAAACAACCACAACAAAAAAAGATGGAAAGGTTCCAAAGAAAGTGACGGAAACAGGTGATAACGCATTTTAGATTAATGCTCATTTGGTTTCTTATAGTGTTATGATATGGTGGTTTTTAGCTACTGTCTATTAAATACGACTTGTTTTCACTTTACTTCAAGTGTAACTTTCGACACTATGTTTGTATGACCTGATATATGATATAAGGACACCCGTGATCAGCAGTGTTCTCAGAAGCGGAGTAATAATTGACTGAGTATTGTAAATTTTACAACACCTGAGATCATCAGAGTGTACTTCATTCATAATATATGTGTAAAACTTGGGCACTGTGATAGTAAGTAATTCCATATTAGTTTGTTTATTAGGTATATCACATAGTGAAACAGTATTATTTACTGGATGACACAGTTTCGAACAAAATTTATTGTTCATAATCATATCAATTGTAATCACACGTCTTTGAAACTTGAGTTTTATAGTTTTCTTTGTTTTCTCCTGTTTGTCGTGGGGGTAGTAGAATTTTCCAGATATCGGGGACAGGTGATGAATCATTCCTATTACATGTATTTGCAGTTGATTCGATAAACAAAGCTTCTGTTATCAATCTCTCCCTATACTCTGTGACATTAGATTTTAAAACTGTCATCTTATCGCATCCTATTTTGTGGTTGTGCGTAACTGCATGTAAAAACTTCATTCATAGGTTAGAGGATAGGGACTGAGACTCCCCGTAGGTCATAGTCAAGCTTATCTGTTTCATCATGTTCCCTTACTGAATAAGGCAATGTGGTTTTACAAGAAACTATTGGTTTACATTCTTTTCTCACAGAAACTATTGAAGAAATAACCAAAAAGGAAGGTGGAGCTGTACCTAAGAAACGAACAGAAATTGGTAAGGAAGCGTATTTTTTCAAGTATGTTCTGTAATTAATTGAAATCTTTTTTCCTTGAAACTGTCGATAATTCACTTTCACAATGTGTCTGGATGCATGTTGAATAAAACTAAAACAGGGATCTTGGACAGAATTAGCTAACTCAGGACACTATGAGTAATTAAGATAATTAAGTAGAAGTAACAGACTTGATGACTTAGCTTTGAGAAAGAACTCAGATTTGAGAAACATTTATGAGTAGAGTACTGAGGGTAAAACACTAATATACAACTTAGGTTGACGAGAAAATGTTGATAAATTCTATCCATGATCTCTTTTTCACAGAAACAATTGAGGAGACTACAAGAAAAGAGGGTGGAACTGTTCCGAAGAAGAGAACAGAAATTGGTAAGGAAGCGTATTTTTCAAGTATTTTCTGTAATTAATTGAAATCTATTTTCCTTGAAACTGTCGATAATTCGCTTTCACAATTTATGAATGTCTATGATCTACATAGTCCTGTTTACTATCCTTTATCTTTTGATGTTTTTTAGACTAGTGCTGTCATTTGCAATAATGCGTGGGCTGAATGAGTTGTTACATGGGGAAGTTAAAAGAACCATTTAACAGGACTGTGGAAAGCTGTTTATATGTCATACAAGAAATGTGCTCCGATTTTGTACATACTACTAAGCACTTTCTTGCTTCAAAACTACTTCTCAGTATTTAGCATCAGTAAATCAGAACTCATAATTACAAGCATTAGAGAGAGAGAAGGGACTAATTACAGTTTCGATCATGAGCTAAAGTCAGTCAGGGAAACATTGGAAAACTATCAGGAACTGCTGGACAGCTACTTAGTCTTGGTTTGGAACTCATCACTAGTGCTCTCCCAACCGGATCCGAACCAAGAAGTTTCGGTCGATTCACAGCATATTTAGCACGAGAGTCCCAAACTAGGACGAAACAGCTGATGGTCCTCCAAGTGATGTCAGTTTGCTATTAGACCTGTAACCAATCAACCCCTGGAATCCAACACTTGGTAGGAGACTAATTAGTTTACAGAAAAGTTACCAAACTAAGTCAAAAGTATTTCGATCACAGACAAGAGACTACGACTAAAACATTCACCGATAGATGCATAATTTATCTGTTTTATTCCTACAGAAACGATTGAAGAAACTACCAAGAAGGAAGGATTACCTATTCCAAAGAAAAGGACAGAAATAGGTAGAAGCAATAAGTTTTCATGTGGTTTTATTTATTCCACACATCAAATTTGATAATTTTATTAGTATTAACTGTATAACCGAATAGTAGAACTCTGGGTTTTCGAAAAACAGAATTCAAATAGATGATAAATCAACGAAGTTGTACATATTTTGTGTGCGTTTGACTTTAGTTACATGGTTAATATTCTATTGCTTCTGATATTTTCCCCATATTCACTAAATTGCCTATAAATTCAGATAAACACAGTGATAAATGCTTTTCCTTACAAAGACATAAACTACTTCTGTTTTAAAAAGTACTCTGTGTAGGTAATGTGTCTGGATGCATGTTGAATAAAACTAAAACACAGGGACCTTGGATAGAATTAGCTAACTCAGGACACTATGAGTAATTAAGATAATTAAGTAGAAGTAACAGACTTGATGACTTAGCTTTGAGAAAGAAATCAGATTTGAGAAACATTTATGAGTAGAGTACTGAGGGTAAAACACTTATATACAACTTAGGTTGACGAGAAAATGTTGATAAATTCTATCCATGATCTCTTTTTCACAGAAACAATTGAGGAGACTACAAGAAAAGAGGGTGGAACTGTTCCGAAGAAGAGAACAGAAATTGGTAAGTACAAGACTTCTAATAAATATTTATTTGAAAGAAATTTCTAATTTTAAGGAAAGCTTTGCGAAATGAATATGTTGTTTGGTTAATTAGTCATTCAAAAATGATCCTTGGCAATTAATATTCTAAACTTTGTATCAAAGTAGTATGATCAACTGAGTAAACATAATGGAGCTTTTCGAGTTTGTATATTTCTTAACACATTTAAATTGTCATGGTAACGATCAAGAAGGAGTCGATGCAGAAGGCACAGAACAATATCTTCTTCTATGTATTTCATACAGCTTTAGAATACATGACCTTTTTTCCCCCTATTCTCTAATTACTTTCACAGAAACAATTGAAGAGATAACCAGGAGAAAGGCTGGAAAGGATCCGAAGAAGCGAACAGAAATAGGTGAGTGGCGTCATTACCCAGTTTCATTGTGCTTTAATTCCTTGACATCACTACAGAATCTTCATTTCCACTCTGACAAATATTCCATCGCACCCGAGAAAGGATAATTTACCATTTCATGACACTTGTGTTAACTTGTTCCCATTACAGAAAGGCATTTAACATTGCCTATTTGGAACAGATCCTCAGCATTCGCGTATAACAACGATTGGGAAAAAGGAATTAATGGTTAAGAATAGTCAAGTTATGCGTTTACTTGTTTGATCACATTTATCTGATGATCGTGATTGCATAATTCACTTACAAATTAGTCTTTTTGCAATTTTTTTACCACAGAAACTATTGAAGAAACAACGAGAAAGGAGGGTGGTACTGTCCCAAAGAAGAGAACAGAGACTGGTAAAGAAACTTGTTCTATGTTTTATTATCATTCTCATAACTTTTCCATGCTAGTTGACATTGAGGTGCATAATCTCCTTTCTCTCTCCTGAAGCACAGAAAAATGTTGCCTGTAATTCTGACAGAGTGGTTCACCTTATGATAAGTATACCCTCAAAGCACGATGACAATGATTTAGTCATTTAGATCGCTAATAGATTTTCGTCGTTGCAAGTTTAAAGTTCTTAGGGTGGACCCAAATTCTCATACTAAAACAAATTTAAACTTATTAACTTAAAGAAGAGTACATTAAACTTCATATAAGGATAACTGGCGATTTGACTACTAAAATCCAACTGAATAAATTTCACAGCAAAGTAAGCGGTGAAGATGTTATCCAGAAGGACAATGAAAGTTTCACAATTAAACCTCTCTGCTGAGAGAATATGACGACGTCAAAACCATCTACCTGAACTACAAATCGTCCCGATTCATTCAAAGATAATCTCAATACATTGTAGAGTATCTACACTATTACGTTGTGTGAATGTATTTGCTTCCACTTTACTGTTAACTTAGTGCACATCACCTGCCACCTCTGAAAATTAGTGAATTTTACTCTGACTGTTTTTAGTTGCATTGTGATACATTCATCCTACTCAACATCACACAGATTTAGGATGAAAGTGTCATGCTAACCAAGCCTATATAGTTTTATTGAATATTTATTTCTTAGTAATGCTTATACTCTCACTAGAGGTATACATTTCTTATCAGACATTACAAATGAATACAGAGATGCGGAGAATTCGCATTTTAGCTTAATGTTACTGAGGACCAGGATATTTATGAAGTCTAAACAGAATTCTTAAGTTGTTTCCGCTGTATTTTGAAATGAATGTTAATCGATATTGCAATATTTGAAAGTTAATCAAAGCTTCATTTTATCTTTCCTTTTCCGACAAACGAATATTCACACCGTTTGTAGCTGATTTTCAAGATTGCATTCCTATTTCTTTTCTTTTTAATGCGTTGAAAATAAGAATGAAACAGAAAGGGTGATTGATTCCCTCTGTATAGGTTAAAAGAAATGGCCGGTTTCTTTTAACTGTCAAAGATGAAATATATACGAAGACTATGTCTCTAAACACCAGCCAAAAAACATATTCATTAATTTTTTTCTCACACCTATAATAGAAACCATAGAAGAAATAACTAAAAGAGGTGAAGGATTTATTCCAAAGAAGAGAACAGAAACAGTTAATTATGGCGCACATTTTTCTACATTTTTTGTGTGGTCAATTCGTCTATCACAGAGGTCGACTAATGATAATTAAAAATTAGGGGTAATCATTAATTTCTTGGAGACCAGAGGGATACCACTTTAAAGCTGGTGGAAAAGAGACCGTAGAACTCGCCTCCTGTTATAAATTAAAATCTATCTGACCTATACAAACAACCTGCTCTTCAATTAAATTATTCACTCAGTCTTGATTTATCTACTCAAACGAAAGAAACCCACTGAAGCTTCATTATCAACTTAAAATGTATCGAATTTTCGTGAGAGAAAATATTGATTTAGGTTTTATTTAGTTACTGTAAGCATCACTGAAAATTATTTAGCACACAATACAAGATAACCTGGCTCTAGTTTCAATGAAATTTGAATGAGCATAGCTTACTTTCCTGAAACATTTTGATGTAGATATGTTGAGTTTATCAAGATTTTCCGGGTTCTCCAGTTATTTTGTAGATGCTCCACTATGGATAAGATTTTCTTTTGATAAATCACACAGTCTTATACAGTAATATTAACTGATGATCTTTCGAGCACAAACTATTTCTCATAATCATATCGATGAAATATATGCGAAGACTATGTTTGTGCTTGAAACGTCATCAGTCAACATTACTGTATAAGACTGTGTGATTTATCAAAATAAAATCTTATCTATAATAGGGTTATACTCTACAACAGTGCCCAAGTTTTCTGCATGTATTTTTTAGATGGTTAGGAACATTTAGTGATATTTTAAGATAAATAGGATTCATTTGTAGTTATTTTTATATTGTCTTGTGAGTAATGAGTGCCAAATGACTGAATCTAGTAAGGTGGATAACAGATCTTAGAATATGGATATCTCAATTATTGTCTAATCATCATCATAATAATCTTTAACCAGAAGAAAAGCTGGAGGAATTCCGAAAAAGAGGACAGAAATAGCTATATAACCCTTTTTATTATCGCTTACTGCTCAGTCAATATTTTGGATTATTTTTATCCCATATTATTTGATTTACTGTTTCATATTCTGTCTTTTTACCCTTATCTACTATTAGTAAATCCCATGATACCTGTAGAAACTTCGATCCATTTTTCGCATTACCACTGGACATCTTCTTTGCTATCCTAATTATTTAATGTCCCCCTTGTATGTCAATATTTCCTTCTGCAATTATATTTATGTTTGCTTTATCATATCTGAAAGTATTTGAGGGGTGATTATGCAATCAGTACTCTAATATGTTGCAGTTAAACCAAGTTTCACTATGTGTCTTTTATTTTGACAGAAACTATTGAAGAAATAACCAGACGAAAAGGAAGGAAGCCGAGAACGAGGACTGAAATAGGTATTAACATTTAAATATAATGGAGAAGATTTGTAGCTCAGGTGGATGATTTTCATATAGTTGTGTTCTCTAAGCTGGATGGTTTACCTACAAAGCTTTCGTTGCCTTAGTAGGTGACATCTTCAGCGCACATTTCAATTTGAAGTGAGCTTTTAGATTTCTCCACGAGTTTATTAGTCATTCGCATGCAAGGTTACCAGGACGAATGACTAATAAACTCGTGGAGAAATTTAAAAGCTCACTTCAAATTGAAGTTTGCGCTTAAGATGTCACCTACTAAGGCAACGAAAGCTTTGTAGGCAAAACCATCCACCTTAGAGAACACAACTACATCAAAATGATTACTAACATTTGCCATGCTAATATTTCCTTTTATGCTCATGGGACTTCACTTTTGTTAATGAAGGAATATTTAGTACTCTAATATTTCATCATTCTGTTCATCATTTTCTGTATTTACAGAGACTATAGAAGAGAGGAGACGGCGATTAGGTAAAAGGGTTGTGAAGAGAAGATCAATACTTGGTAATAATCTTTAATGTATTTTAATCAATTTTTCGTGATATTTATTCATTTTGTGGTTTACATTATTAAAAATACCATACCAAATTTAAATTAATGATGTCACAGATCTGTGCATTTATATAAATTCACAAGAGTTGGTAATCCAACGTTGACTAGGGTTCGATTTCCGGTGTCTGACACACTCCTAAATCTCGCTTAGCCAGTAGTTGTTCAGGTAAGAAGGGAAGGTTTGGCGTAAGGCTAGCAACCTCACTCCATAAAATATAAAACACCACTGCTACTAAAGCTTCAAAGCTCACGCTCCACTTGGATCGTTGTACATGAGTTAATAAAATAGTTTCAGAAAGCATATAATTTCAAGACAGATTTTACCCACTTGTAATTGTCCTTGCATCCTTCTAGATGTATATTCATGTTTATGTACCTAGTCAAGTTACTAATCATGTTAAAATCGAGCTGAGCATATCACACCCGTGCACATGAACCCAGTCTCAAAGCCTATGAGCCTAGTGAACAGCACATTGACTACCTTTGAGGCACTGGGTATATGGATCAAGTCTCAATCAGAACACCCTCACTTACTGGGGAACAGTTACACTTATCTACCGATTCCAAAGTAGGATGAAACTCCCGTTCTCAATTCTGCTGTTAGCTATCACAAAATATATGATCAATAGACATGAATAAATTTCTATCACAAATGTTAATATTTTTTAATTCCGATATTCTCATTTTTTTTGTTTTTAACATAAGATACGATTTCCGATACTGTCACGGGTATTATTCGTCCAGTAATCAGAGGTAATGAATTATCTATTTTTAGTTCGTTGAAATTTATTGCATTTTCTATCTATATTTATCTGTATTACAATATTTCTAAATAGCTCTGGCCTTTTTCTACTCCTATGCATCATTGTATATCCTACTGATTGATGTAATCAATTGGAAATTGTTGATGTCAATTGGCTGAATCATTTGTGAGCACACCACTCTGATGAATTGGGCGCGAAATATACAAAATGGCTCTTTGACGAACGCATCATTTCAATATGTTTTAACTAGGCAC